CTTTTTCAACTGATCTGGCTGTGTTAATCCTATTTTAAAAAAGTGTATATATTATACACTTATTGCATATGTCATAGTATTTTAAGTATTTATATGAGGAAGTCAACAGTTCACCATTTGGAAAACTGACACACAGCTGCTCTTTGGCTCCACCCTGCTGAACTTAAGTAGCATTCCAGACTCACTTTACAGTTCAGAGGGAGGGATTTTCTGGAATGTGAAGGAAAGAGAAAACTGTGAAAAATACTTAGATCACTTTACATGTTGCAACATTGCATGCAGCTCTTTTAAAATGGAATTTATCTGAATAGAAGAAGGGTAACGGTGCTTTGTTGTGCTCCTTTGCTTCTAGTTAGTGTAAATCTTAATTTAAAGCAAGAGAAAGCACATCTTGATCTGCCTGCTGTTAAGTGTTTTCACCACGTGGCATTTGGTTTTATGGCAAAACAATTTATCACAGAAMGCTAGACAGGCATTTCACAGCCAATATACATAATTCAATCTTTTCTAGTCCAAAATCCATTAATCTAATCCACAGTCCTTTTCAATGCCTCTGATGTCTTTCTTCCTATGAGGTCATACCTCTCATTTATGTGTACTGGGCATTCAGCTTCAGAGATCTACAAGTACATTCTTCATGTTTAGAGTGAACATTATGTCCATTTGGAAAAAAAGGGTTCTCATTTAAAATCTCACCCTGCTTTTCAGATTTTACTACCCTATTGTTATTAGTTATAGGGTCATTTTTGATATCCAGATTAGTTAAACCAGATTTCTGATTTAAAAAACCACATTCGACAAACTAAAATAAGCAAAATAAAACAAGTACAAAAATAAAATAAATTCCATTAATAATATCCAGTGAATAGTTCATGTATAGAACATGATATGTCATTTTTTTAAGTTCGACTTACAAATACTTTTGTCTGAAATGCAAGATTTTGAAAATAAAAAAAAAAAGTTTCCAGATATTCAATGTTTCATCCCCCAGGACGCATCTATTATCTACAGCACAATAAGAAATATGCCAGTTGTCCTAAATAGATCAATAATTAATATATCAAACTTCACAAAAAGAAATGAAGGGCAAAATAACAATCCAAACTAAATATATGTTACCACTACACTAGTATAGTATAGCAGTGTTTCCCAAAGTTGGGGTCGGGACCCAAAGTGGGGTCCCGAAAAATCAAGATGGGGTCCTGAAAATTTTTTCGGAATTAATTATGTTTTTGCCTTAGTTGTTACAAAGGAGTGAGGTTAGAATCTTTAAAATGGATAAATGTAGTATAAAAATATTGTTACCATGCCCAAGTTTTGTTGACCTGATGCAAATGTGTATCATACAAAAATAGCTGGGGGCACAGGTCTCTGCTACTGTTATTTTGTGGGTCAAAAGCTGAAAAGTTTGGGAACCACTGCACTTTGGTTCCCAAAGTTGGGCTTGGGACCCAATTATGGGTCATGAAGCACCTTGGATAATCTCCAGAAATCAATTTAAAGGGTAATAAAATAATTGCTGATGTAATATTTTCCCTATAATTATTACAAAAACACAAAATAAGTAAAAATAAGTATTTATATTTGTGTACAAGCTGTTTAGATTGTCAAAAAGCCTGTGTTTTTAGGGTTATTTAAGAAGTTCGTGTACTCAGACCAGTAATATTTGGGGTCACAAGTTTTTGCCATGGATATTTTGTGGGTCAGAAGATAAAAAGTTTGGGAACCACTGTAGTATAGTATAGTATAGTATAGTATAGTATAGTATAGTATAGTATAGTATAGTATAGTATAGTATAGTATAGTAGTATGCTATTTTCTCCATTTAAGACTATTTTATTACTTTTTGTGCAAATTTTGGTGAACACTATAGGGAATATTATGTTTTTAATTATCTGAAATCTGGAGAAAAAAAATCATTACCCCTTCAACATTTTGTGACCAAGAGATAAAGTCCCTACACAAACATTGAGAACCTTTACTTTACTTAAAAACTGACAGTGTCCTTTGACTTGCCTATATTATCAATGATTCTAACATATTTGGACATTAAAGTGCAGTCTGAATATTTGACACAACGGCCTGCCATACMTTGGGCAATTTTTCTACTAGAAATCTTCAAATACTTTTCCGTGCTCGTCGTGTCACTACGGGTGAAAACGACTGCACATTCCGAACGACAGCCCCCTGAAAAATGAGCGAGAAGGGCTGCATGTGAGCCTGCACGTAGCATTCGGGCCCAAGACTTTTACAAATCCAGCCCCAACCCATCAGATAGCCAACAGCACATCGAAACATCACAAGATAGGAGGAACCACCGGAGACTTCTCACCGTTAACTTCTTCACCGAGTCCAGCCCGAGGAGAGGACCTAAAAGCCCGCCGCGGGGACTCTTCTGCTGCCACAGGATGCCCAGACCGAGGTAAATAACTTCCTAATAAGTCACATAAGATTTGAAAAGGCGAGCCAAAACGCCTATTTCAGCTGATTTTAGTTAGGTGTTCTCGCTAATTGCAACATTAGCCATTTAGCGTCGATGATAAAAAACTACCAAGGCAAACACGTTGGCGTAAAATGTGGTTTTTGTTGACTAAACATAAATAAAGGCACAAACAAAACTATTCCTGCGTTAGTCTGCGCCACTTCTGCAAATATCTGTGCTGGTATTCCAGCGTGGGATGCTGCTGCTCTCTTTCTGCGCTATTTTAGCTCATTTAACACATTTTTTTAAATTGAATGCGCTTTCAGATTTTTAGTAACACACATTAAAATAGTCWGAGCAGAGGTGGTGTTCGTTTGCAGAGATTTAAACGGGACTGCGCAGKTTAGAGCAGACAGACGCCATTGGACTGAGTGCTGCTCCTTCACATGGGTTTCCGCTGAGAGGAGGAGCGAAGACGTGGCAGTCCTTTTCCATCCCCACATCCTTCCCTTTTTAAAAATGAATTAAAAAAAAAAAACTATTTCCCTTCTAGGAAAACTGGAAGAAAGCAGAGTAGTTTGTCAGAGAGAGATAGAGAGAAAAGCATTAGTATGAAATCAACAGGGAAAAAAGTCAATTTCTTCACAGAATGAGTCTGAGCAAAAACTGCCTCGTTGTATAAACAAAATATAGACTTATTTACACATTATACCAGTTTCAGGCAGCTTTTCATAAGT